GTGGCCTTTGTTACTTGAGTAAGTATGTTCTTAGGGGTGTCTCTTCACCTAATGCCCTAAAGCCAACTGGTTTGGGAGTTATGGACAAAAAGCTCGTTACATGGGTAATTTAGAAAGCCTAAGGAAACTCGACATATGAAAAAAAAAAAAAATAGAGTAAGAAAGTAGAAGGGGGGAGGTGGTGGAAGAAATAGAAAAAAAAAATAGTAATAAGTGTTAAGGTGTGAAGGTCTAAACTTGAGACTTCTTACTATGAATCTCCACACACACTCTAAGTGCTCATGGGTTAAGTCGTTTAACAAGTGGTGTAAAGAATAGGATGAGTATTTGACTTTAAGTGAGTATATGAAAACTCTTGAATATTTGAGACTTTGTATCTAATTGAACTTTAATTCCTAAATTTTCTTTGCATGCATATCATATAGTTACATTCTTGCATTGAGATTTTGTGGGTAGATTCACTGCAAACCTTCACGAGACACAACTCATCCACTAGGGTGATCTAGGGGTTTAAAGGCTTGTTGTGCATGCTAAGTGCAATCGTAATTCCTACGAAAGTGAGTTAAGTTTTATTTTTATTTCTTTTATCTTTTTATTTTACTCGAGGATAAGTAAAACTTAAGTTTGGGGGAATTTGATGAGCTAAAATTATATACATATTAATGTGAAATTGTTGCCTTGATATTATTGATTTTTGGATGAGTTTTATAAAATTTTATTTGATTTTACATAATTTTTATTCTTTGTGTAGGAAAGGACTTAATTGGAAGAAATCATAAGTTTTAGGAGTAAATTGCAGAGATCAAAAACTTGAGGATCAACTTGTGCAGAATCTAGAAGTCAAGGACCAGGACTGTTCTTTTACCATTACAGAAATTGCTAAGAAGGACAAAAACCTGACACGGTGAGGGCATCGTGCGCTGAACAAAAGTGTCGTTACCTTGTTGAAAGTGTTGACCCCTTACCTGATTTTCACCAGATCCATGCTTAATTAGGTGTTATCCATGTTTAATTAGGTGTTATGGGCGTGGCTCCCACTTCTATTTCAATTAGGATTTTTAAAATCCTATAAATACCCATCCAAATTCAGAATAAGAGAGCTTGGAGGGAGCTTGGTGGAGGTTAGTGGTAGCCCTCTTTTGAGCACTCTTGGAGGTCAAAATAGAGGATCCATCAACGAGAAGATCAAGGATTTAAATTATCTTTAATTAGGTTTTGTTTTTCTTTAGACATTTTTATATTCATAACTATAATTTCATATTTTATTATTTTTATTATAAACTAATTTATTTTATTAAGACTATAACGTAGCATAATTAATTCAATATAGATTTTGTAATTTTATACTTTCAATTAAAGTTATTCGTATGAAGAGTTTATATTATTGAACTTAATGCATTGGAAGCCTGATCATTTTTCAATTGATTTAGTGATTTATGCATGAACTTGAGAAAGAATTGCATAGATTAGACCAATAATAATATAAACCGTGTGCTAAACTATGAGACCGAGAACTAATTAACTCACATGTGGTAGTGGAGGAAGAGAAGAAAGTTAGGAGCTCCCCCTTCTTAAGCTAAAGGTTTCTATAGAATTTAATGCTTATTAGTTTGTTTAAAATTACATAGATATATGATTAATTTAACAAATCAATGAAGAATTAATTTGACTTGAGAAAGCTAGTTAATTAATTTAAAGAAATCTGTCATCACATGCAATAACACTCAATAAATTGATTTTGAAAGTATATTATCCCAAATTTATATTTATTGATTATGGTAAAATCAATGCTTTAGTACCTCCTATCTTAGTTAGGTTTATTTGTTATTTTCTTTTTATTATTTTTAATTAAAGTTTCTTCCTATTTGATTGTTCAAATAAATTTAGATTAATTACTTTAGTACTTAATTAGACACAATACTCGTGGATTCGTCACTCTCTCATCATTATATTATTTAGAGCGACTAGTCCATTTGTTAGGGTGATTTTAGTGTATTAATGTATAAATTTCAAGAAAATCTCATTTATTCATCCAATCTTATTAAATATCATAGTTGAAAATATATATATATGATTGAACGTATTTTCATACTTTATTTACAGGGGAAAACTACAGTTTTTAGGGGAAACTCTGCCAGATTTTTTATAAATTTGTAATGAATTGTGAAAATTTATATGGACTTTTATTATGATATTTATAATTATATTAAGTCTTTAATCAATATTAAATAGTGAAATTAATAAAAATTGTATAAATATGTTAAATAAAAGAGAAAAATTAAAGGTGTCGAGCTAGTGGGTACTTCATGTTCAGAAAGTGGTTCAAATTGTTTGTTGTGGTAGAGCTAATCTTGAAATAGATTTGAAAACACATGTAATTGAAAAAAAAAAAAAAAAAATAGACCTCTTCGACTAACTAGGTCCAATCTCTTGATATTAGCTTTTGATTTCCTCATAATATTCTTGTTGACGACCACTTAAAAGGATTAAGTGTGAAAATATAAAAGAAGAGAGAATCGCCACTTGTCCAAATTATAAGGTGGGACAAGCACCTAAAAACAGGTCTGCATAGGAGATCAGGGTTCGAGGGTTCGATTAGGAGTGAGGAAAGGCATACGCGCACCTCACAATCCTCTGTTTAAACACGATTGCATACTTTAACATTAGGGGGTTTTAATTCAACTTATTCATTATGTTTGTATTTAAGTCTTAATAAGCAAGCTTAAAAAAAAAAAAAAGATAAACCGAATTGAAATATTTGTAGGTTTTTAGACTAAAATGGACAAATTTGAGAACATGCATTCGAAATGAGCATAAATAAAAAGTTAAAGGACTAATTTGATTAAATACAAAACATAGAGGACTGATTTGATTAAATTCAAAACATAAAGGACTAATTTAAAAGGAATTGAAATATGTGGACTAAATTGCTTAATTATTAAAGTTTTGCATAAAATTAAAATGAGAAAAGATAATTTTGACTTTGACTAAAATTAACAAAAATTAAGGATTTTAAATTAATTAAATAATTAATTTAACATTAATTAAAATTAATTTAACATTAATTAAAATTAATTAATCACATTCTCAGTTTTTAATCAAGATAGATGATATAATTATCTTAAATTAAGATCAATAAATATGATTAATTTATTTTAATTAAAAATTAATTACTATTGCTAAGTCAATTATCTTAATTTATTTATTTATTTTATTTATATTATGTATTTTTTACTGGATCGGGTTTGATACCGAAACGAAAAAAACACAACCCGAACATAAAATAACCAAAAAAAACAGATCAAACATGCAAACAACAACATAGCAAACTAGGGTTCATCATGAATACATCTCATTTTCAGCAAAAACTAGGGCAAATCTATGATCTTTCATTCATTTCTTAAGAAAACATATACAATCTTAAACTGAAGACTAAATGAAAAATAAAAAAAGAGAAATCAGCAAACAAAGCAACACCCACGGCAGAGTTTTCTGAGGAAAATAGATCCAGATCTGATGGGAGGGATCCCACCCACGAGACCAGGCTCCCATCGTCCCCTTCACCACCGTTCCCAGAAAAACTCCTCTGTTAAGAAAATTACCTACAAAATAGACCAAAATCTTCTCCCAAATCACCGGTTCCCTCTAGTAAAATTCCTCTCCTTTTCTGCCGCCGTTCTCCACACTCAAAACCAAAACCGAGACCCCCCAAAACCCTCGTCTAAAGATCTATTTATACTGCTCAGAAAAACCCTATCCTTCTATCCAAAACCAAGCCTAACTCTATGACAAAAATGGACTCAAACCTTACCCAATCCAATTTCTCATTTGCTGCGGAAGACCCGATGGTGAGGGTTTTTGGGACGCTTTGCAAGAGGAATGGCCTGGTCCCTTTTTCGAGTTCACGAGCTGATTCTCAGCTGCATATGAATCTATGACCAGTTCAAGTACAACTGACGAGTTACCATTTTCCAATAGTCACCGCCGTCGCGCGCAACAATCACCACCATTCCCGATCGACAGATCCGGCTTCAATTTCTCTCGTTCGCTGTTCACTCGCCTGCATGGTGGGTGCTGGGCCACGGCAATGGTTAAGGAATAGGAGGAATTTCTATGCTTTTGTCCCTTTTGCGTGGCTGTCAGCAACCCAAACTTCCAGATCTGAAAATGGACTTCATCATTTCATTTTTTTTTTTTTTGCGTGTGATGATCGGAGATGAAGGTATCGGCGAAAGATGGAGAAGCCGAAGATGGAGGTGATGGTCGATGATGCCGGTGGTGGTGGTGATCGGAGAAAGAGGAAGAAGGTGATGGTCGTGATAGTGGTGACGGTGATTGGATAAAGAGGAAGTTTGCTATTGGCCGGTTGAGGAAGAACCACCTGCAGCAAGAAAGGGATGGTCGGGATCTGCGCGAGGAAGAAAAGAAAACCGAGGGAAGAGGGAAAAGATGGGTCGGTGAGAGGTTGTTTTGGGGCATGGGACGCTCCATCGCTGGCGGATGGAGGGGAGATGGCTGCTGGCTGCTGGCTGCTGGCTGCTAGCAGAAGGATGGGGAGGGTTCGGGAGAGAGAGAGAGAAGGCCGAGAGTGAGGGCGAGTGTAGGTGAGGAAGAAGACTTTGGCATTTTTTAGGTCTTTATATTTATATGAAAACGGTGAGTTTTGGGATTGGGTTTGGGCTGGAATAGTTAATGGGCTCTAAAAATTGAAATGGGTTGGTGTTGGATTGGGTTTGGCTTTAACGGGCTCATTATTGAGACTTGGGTTAGGTTTGTAAATTTGTCTTGATGAACTTCATCCCTCCAACTTTCCATTTCTTCAACTGAGTCCTTTCTCTCATCTTCTTTTCCAATCCTCTTCATAAAATCCCTTTTTTTGCTCACGAACCTAATAAGGCAAATAAAGACAAAACATATTAGTTAAAATAAAATAAGACTAAAAATAAAAATAAAATTCTATTAAAAATTTGAGTTATAACAATTGTCATTGCT